TGTTTGACGATACACTTCTCAAAGGATTATGGGTACAGTCTTTTTGCTGTGAAAACAGAGCCATTGAAAGCCAATGTTTCGCTTCCGTACAGGTTATGTACTTGACGCAAATGATCGCTAAGGAACTGTAGATCAGGCTTGTGGCAAACAGGACAACGTCTTCTGTATCTGAAAGCCATGTTAAGTGTTCGAAGAGCAAGCATCAAATTATGGTACTTGAAGTTTTCTCATGCCTTTTTTTCCTGTAACTAGTCGATGTGATGTGTTTGTTTCAGTTGATGTAGTTGATGTCAGGTCGATATCATGTCGATGTCATGTCGATGTCATGTCGATGTCATGTCGATGTCATGTCGATGTCATGTCGATGTCATGTCGATGTCATGTCGATGTCATGTCGATATCGTGTCGATGTCATGTCGATGTTGGGTCGGCGTCGTGTGTGTTGTGAAATTATTGAAATTTACACGCTGAGTTAATTTCTTGAGCCTGTTAAATGGTCAGCAGTTTAGAACTTAAAAAGCAGGCGCCCAGATCTTTAATACTATAAAAGATAGGGCTTTGTGTCAAGTTTATCATTTGAGAGCTGAACTTCAAAGCGATAGGAGCACCATGTCTCAGTCTAACCACAGCGAGGAGGAAGATTTGATTTCTGACATTATCCATACCGATACCTCAGAAGAAAGCAGCGAAGAGAGTAGTGATTTAAGTGATGTTGATTCAAGTGAAGAGCAGGAGGATATCGATGTCTGGGCAAGAATTCAACACCAAGCTATGGATAGATATCAGCAAGAATATGAAGTACTGGTTCAGAAATACAAACAAAATGGCGATACCGATACCGCAGCAGAAATCAGAGCAAATAATGCTTTGCTTCCCTCGTATAGAAAAGCGCTGAGGGAGGTCTTGTTTGACGAGCTAAAGTAGATGCATCTATTCAAAAGAAATCCTATTTATAAAAAGATAATAGAAAAACAGAAAAACCTTATGGATATTGAGAGCTATGAATGGGAAGAAGCAACCCAATCAGCCATTCATCAAAGAAAGTTTTTGTTGAACAAATTGTTCACAAAAGAAGAAGTCACAAAACAAAGCGTAAACGAAAGATTCCATCCCTACAGTCGTAATTTTAGTGGTTTTGATTGAAGGCTTGCATTGCCGGATAACATGCTAACAATAGAAAGAGAGATTTTGAATAGCGAAGAGCACTTTGACCAGTCATCAATGCAAGGAGCAATAGAGGCCAAGGAATATCTCGAGGAACTTTTGAATTATCCTGACAAAGGCCTTTTGGAACATGAAATAATCATCAGTATCAATAATAAACTGCTCCAAAACGATAAACTGTGTGCTTATTGCACAAACCAGAAAATGACCACTTACCAGGGTCAGGAAATATGSTACTCCGATCCAAAGGATATTCATTCTAGAATGCAAATTATAGTGGATTGTTTTAATTATAAAACTATTTATTGGTACCAGGTTGCCGAATTTGTCCTAGCTTTCCTTACCGTCCATCCACCAATGGAAGAACTATCAAGTTTCTAATATGGTACGTTTTGGAAAGCTTTTACGAAGTTAAAACCTTCTATACTATGAGCTACAGTAGATGGTGTAACATAGTGTATCACAAGTCACAAGATTCTCTGTTGGATTGGTTTCAAACTATGATATATTAATAATAATAATCGCAAATACAATGATGTATCAATGGAAATAAAAAATAGGTCAACAACGATCCATTCATGTTTTCAAAAAACATATCATATGTAATACCTTTTAAAACTTTTAGTTTATGGAATAAAATGTTTTACAGCAATGGTTTGCGTCGGAAAATGGTTTCTAATCCCATTCCAATCTCTTTTCCGGGATCATTCCGAAAGATTTCCGGAGTCTTTCCGGGGGGCGCTTCGGGCCATTTCCGGGCCATCCGGACAGCCTCGGGGTTTTTTCGGACTTTTCCGGGCCTTSCCGGTCCTTTCCGGCCTTTCCGGACCAATTTCCGGGCCTTCCGGACCATTCAGAAGTTTTCAAAGTTATATATGACTTAAAAAATGAAATTTCAAACTGAAGAATGTTCTGCAGRTAGACGGTTGTCCAAGGAAGCTTGTAAAATTCAGGAGTATAAACTCGCCAGGAAGGGTGAATTTTGAAATCGAGGTTTTTAAGGYACTCGTGCTCACATACTTCATTGGCTAATTCCCAAACTCTATTGGAATCCACTAACAGCGTGGCATCGTCGTAATACTGTGTAATAATAATGACGCTGACACACTTTCTAGGCGTTTTTAATAACAACACGAACTAAAGACCATGAGGCCAAGGTCAAAAGGTCACTAGTGACGTCAAGATACAATGTACTTCCGGTTAAATAACAGTTTCCGGTCTCATAACTATTACACCATTCCCCCTACAATAGGAGGAAACTCGATACATAACAATGTCAAGTAACAATAATGTTATAAATGTTCCATGAAAGTTTCAAGATTTCAGTTCCCAAATTTGATGCTCGCATAAAGAAGCATAAGAGAGTTGTAAGACCGTTGATATCAGCTCCAGCAGGAAAGCACGTTCAGCCATTTCAACTTCGTCAATCTGAGTTCTAATCATTGCCGTATAAATCTTCAACAGATAAATGAAACTAACAAGACAACAAGAGTGAAGAGTGACTAACAGACCAGATTGAAGCAATAAATAACCGCTTAGGCGAAACAATAGAGAACAAAAGGACTATTGATCGGGGATTAAGTGTACAAAAGACCTAAATTCGAATAAATTACCAACGGGGCACCTCATTAGTATTCTACCAACGTCTCATTAGTATTCTACCATTTTTCCATCCATTTCCATTGTCATTTCCAATGAAAAGGGGTCCCAACTGCTGACTCTATACTACTTCCAAGCGACCGTGTAAGATTCTGTTTATCATATAATTAATATGAAAGCAAATTATGTCGTCTTTTTTCTTACTTCCACCATATAGAGAAACCTCTAATGTGTTATTTTCACTAGTGAAAATATCAACTTTACGAAATGAAGAAAATATAGGTATTTCATAGATATTAAGGGAGGTTTCTTAGTACGACAAAAGTACTACGTTTAAATGCTCTCCTATGTCTTTCAGATCATTGCCAGAAATTCCGAACCATTTGGGGGCGGAGCTAATTATTTCTAAGTTTTTGGCACGTCAAAAAAAACAATTGTTTTCCACCGCTTATGATTGTACTATGAAACCACGTGACGGTAGGGGTTTTCCCTTCGATAATGATTAGGTGATGGCGGACTCAAGAACTTCAAAGATACACACAATTCATTGCTTCAGTAACGTGGCGATTATTGCAAATATTTCACAAAGAAAGCGGTCATTGTTTTGATCGCTTGGCTTGGAGATACGAATTTTATCTTCTTGTGTTGAAAATCTCTCACGCATGAGCGTAGCGAACGCGTGAGAGATTTTTAACACAAGAAGATAAAATCTGTATATCCGAGCGCCTATGTAATATCCTCTATGTGTAAAAATATAAATTTAAATTGGATTGTGCAATATAAAGTTGAAATTGGGCCATACGCTACTGCTGTGATGAGTTTATTTTCTCAAGCTTTCGTCGGTCGCCGACATCATCAGGAGAGTGAAGGAAATTTACATATATGCGAGTATAAGGAGTACAGAGTCTTTTGTGTAGGGTGATGTTATAAATACAATGGTTAAAATAATAGTTAAAACAAAAGGTCTTTGAGTTCGCTACACTCGTCGCGTGAGTTTATTTTGGGCTTCTTGTTGCGTATCAGAGCAGCTTCTAAGAGTCTTAAGTTGACTGGATCGTTGTTTCGACCGATGATCTTGATGGAAAANAAGGAAGCTTGTAAAATTCAGGAGTATAAACTCGCCAGGAAGGGTGAATTTTGAAATCGAGGTTTTTAAGGTACTCGTGCTCACATACTTCATTGGCTAATTCCCAAACTCTATTGGAATCCACTAACAGCGTGGCATCGTCGTAATACTGGTTGAATGCTTCCCCATTATTGGTCATCATGCAAATATGATCTTTCTTGCCTGGTAGTTGAAGTTTGCAGCCTTCACACGAAGAATTTATCAGTTCCCAAATTTGATGCTCGCATAAAGAAGCATAAGAGAGTTGTAAGACCGTTGATATCAGCTCCAGCAGGAAAGCACGTTCAGCCATTTCAACTTCGTCAATCTGAGTTCTAATCATTGCCGTATAAATCTTCAACAGATAAATGAAACTAACAAGACAACAAGAGTGAAGAGTGACTAACAGACCAGATTGAAACAATAAATAACCGCTTAGGCGAAACGTGTTTGAAGAAGGAGGACAAAAAATTCATGTTCGTACACCAGCAATCCGCTCTCCCAAGCAAATGCAAACGTCACTTCATTTTGAATGAAAGAATACGTATAAACCAACGATGCACCGAACTCGAAGCACAAATCGAACATAACAGGGAATTCGATGACGTCCTTCTTCAAACACGTACAGCGATGCCAAACCGGACCCCCACGCTTTTCCATCAAGATCATCGGTCGAAACAACGATCCAGTCAACTTAAGACTCTTAGAAGCTGCTCTGATACGCAACAAGAAGCCCAAAATAAACTCACGCGACGAGTGTAGCGAACTCAAAGACCTTTTGTTTTAACTATTATTTTAACTATTGTATTAACATCACCTTACACAAAAGACTCTGTACTCCTTATACTCGCATATATATAAATTTCCTTCACTCTCCTGATGATGTCGGCGACCGACGAAAGCTTGAGAAAATAAACTCATCACAGCAGTAGCGTATGGCCCAATTTCAACTTTATATYGCACAACACGATGCTACTGAAGGACAACTTCATTACTTTGAAATTGKATTGTGTTTTGTGATAATCTGCGAATAACCTATAAAGCWTAAGCAATGAATAAAAATGCTTTAATCCAAAAATATGAGACTAATCCAAAAAAACTCATTTTTTAAAAAAAGCTTCTTTTTTTACAGCTTTGCTCATAATAATTGGTAATGGAATGAAAACCGAGAAAGCATTTTGCTCTCATGAGTTTTTGCGTGAGTCAATAGCACATCCAACACCATTCTGTGTAGCGCAAGGCATGCTGATTCAGTACTTCTCTAATGTCACTGCCTTGTGGTTTGCTGTATATAGTTTCTGTCTGGTTCAGGTAAATCATTGACTGTCTGTTTTCCATGTCATTATTTTTGTTTGYTTATTATTGTTGTTTTATATGTTTCTTCATTTTAAATGTACTTATCACTTGATTCAATAAAAGACGAAAAAAATAGAAAAGATCCTAACSTACAGTTCTATTCAAACTTGCGAATGGCTGTCGAAGTGTGAGGATTCAATAATGTGGACCATACAAGCATATAGAGAGAGACATCGTGTTTTAAAAATGTCAAGTTCGCCACATTTTGTGTGCCGAGATTTATTGAGGCATGGGGGCAAAAATTATCAATGAGCTCCTTA